AGATCAGAGTCTCATGAACTTTACTGCCCAGGCTGGCTTTGAACCGTGATCCTCAGATCTCAGCCTCCTGAGTAGTCAGGATGACAGGCGTGAGCCACCAGCGCCAATAAGAGTTTCAGCTGGGAAGGTGGCTCAGTGGTAGAGCGCTTGCCTAGCATGCATGAAGTCCTGGGTTGGATTCCCCAGTACCACATACACAGAAAAAGCCAGAAGTGGCTCTGTGGCTCAAGTGGTAGAGCATAAAGCAGCTCAGGAACAGTGCCCAAGTCCTGAGTTCAAGTCCCAGGGCTGGCCAAAAAAAGAAAGGTCTCACAGGTGAAAGTTTTAGCAAGGATTTATTTCAATATAACACTGTTGAAATAGAAGCAGAAAGAGAAATATTTCTTGCTCCCCATGCAGATGAGAGTTGAAGACTGAGTGGAGGTTCTTTTTGTTTGGTTTTGGTCGCTTGTGGGGCTTGACCTCAGGGCCTGGGTGCTGTCTGTGAATTCTTTTGCTCAAGGCTGGCGCTCTACCACTTTGAGCCACAGCGCCACTTCTGGTTTTCTGCTGGTTAATTGGGAGGTAAGAGTCTCACCGACTCTCCTGCCCGGGCTGGCTTTGAACCGCGACCCTCAGATCTCAGCCTCCTGAGTAGCAAAGAACACAGGTGTGCCGGACTCAAGTGGCTCACGCCTGTCATCGTAGCTACTCAGGAGGCTGAGATCTGAGGATCACGGTTCGAAGCCAGCCTAGGCAGGAAATTTCATTAGACTCGTATCTCCCACTAACGGGTGTGGGGAGCCGGCGCGAAGGCGCCGCCCACTTCCTTGCAGTTTTGAGGTAACTCCCTATTAGGCAGTGCTTGGCAGGACGGTGGGTCCTGGGCTTTGCGCATGCGCGAGCCAGGTAGAGTCCCTAGCCAATCCCGTGGCACCTGGTGACGGCGAAAGGCAGACGACCAATGGGAAAAACGGTTCCTACTCCCTATATAAACAGCCATGCTTTGGGTACATGCTCTCTCGCTTTTAAGCTCTCCCATCAATTTAAAGGCTCTCCAATAAAGCGTGATCTGAGAAGACTCCTGGTGTGGTGGTCGTTCTTCCTCGCTGGCCGAGAAGGCGTTTGCCGCAAGTGGTGCCGAAACCCGGGACCCGCGCGAGAGGCCAAACAGGAGCCAGAACTCAACACGTGGAGAGGAGACGTCGGTAAGTATTCCCCAGTATGTTGATTACGGTAGATTATTGGTTGCTTGCATTGCTTCTTCCCTTGTGGTTTGTCTTTTTGATGGTGCGCACCTGCCTCGAGGAGGGAGGGTTTGATTTAATCCGGGAAGGACGCAAAGTACTAACGCAGCATCAGGATAGTCTATCAGAGTTAGCATCAAGTATAGGGGAGGGAAATAGGCCTAAAAGAAGAAGGGAAAGAAGACAAAAGGATCCTAAAGAGTTAAAACAGGAGGGACTGCAGCCCTCACAAAAGGAAAAGGGTCTTGGGGATGACCACAAAGAGGGGGTCTCAAGGAGACCCCTATATCCTTCTTGGAAGGCAAACAGGTTCTCAGCCCTACATGAGGAAGGGCTGGACCAAGAACGCAGTGATCCTTTGAGTTACTCAGAGGAAGAAATGTTAGAGGAGGAGGGAGAGCAGCTCGATCCAGCTGATAATGACTTAAAAGAGGCTGCCGCTGAGTATGAGGCAGACAGGTATGGGGGATGGTGTCCCCAAACAATAGGAGTGCCGCAGCAGCCGGAAAGGAGGAGAGGAGCTGGCCCTCACCTGTCGGCCCCCCCTCCGTGCCCGGAGGCAGGGCGGAGTCACTTTATAGAAGGAAACACCTGGTCGCAGCTGGCGGCCGCCTTTCCAGTCTTTGAGAATCCCATTACCAATGAGAGAATTCTTGAGCCGGTTTCCTACTCCCAGTTAAAAGATTTAGTTGAGGCAGTCAGGGTTTATGGGGTGACGGCCAATTATACCATTGCCTTGCTTCGAAGGTTAATTATTAATGCTATGACACCTATGGATTGGTTTGAAGTGGCCCGTACTTGCCTTAATCACGGGCAGTTCCTTGATTTTCGGTCAATTGTTCAAGACAAGGCTCAAGCCCAATACAGACAAAATGTCCGTGACGGGCACCCGGACTGGACCGAAGATATGCTTCTCGGGCAGGGACCCTATGCTGTAGATCAAACAGGATATCCCTTTGAGGTGTATCGACAGGTTAATACTCTTTTTTATAAATCCTGGCAGGCCCTCCCAAACAAGGGAGAGACGGCCGGCAATCTGACAAAAATCGTCCAGGCCCCTAATGAGCCATTTTCTGATTTTGTTGCCCGTATGCTAGAGACAGCCGAGCGGGTGTTAGGAGATCTGGAAATAGCCATGCCATTTGTACAACAAATCATTTTCGAACAAAGCACCAAGGAATGTCAGAGGGCAATTGTCCCAATAAAAACTCAAAGCCTAAAAGCTTGGATAAAGGCCTGCAAAAAAGTGGGTGGCCCCCTGACCAATGCGGGGCTGGTGGCTGCTGTCTTGTCGGCTGCCAGGGCCGCAAAAAATAATAAAAAAGGATGTTTTCGGTGTGGTCAGTTGGGACATTTTAAACGACAGTGCCCACAAGATGGTGGTCCTGCGCAAAACATACCCAGGCCGCCAAGGACTCCAGGAGTGTGTCCTCGTTGTAAAAGGGAAAAGCATTGGGTCAACAAATGCCGGTCAGTTAGAGACATCAATGGACATCTTATTCCCCAAACTATCATAAACACTAATTCGAAACAGGAGCCAAAAAACGGGGAAAAGGGCCCTCGTCCCCAGGGCCCAAAAATTTACGGGGCGTTTCAGACTCCGGCTCCCGGACAGCACCCGCAGCAACCCCCCAGCCAAAGAGAGCAACCTCAGGCTCCGCAGGGTTGGACCTCTGTGCCACCTCCGGACGGGTATTAACACAGCAGATGGGAATCCAGGTTGTGGAGACGGACATGACAGGACCCCTAGATGAAGGCACTGTAGGAATAGTTTTAGGACGCTCCTCCTCCACAATGAGGGGATTAGTAATTTACCCGGGGGTGATTGACCCTGACTATACGGGGACTATCAAGGTCCTCTGCCATGTCCCCCATGGAGTGGTGTCCATTTCTCCCGGGGATAAAATTGCACAGCTCCTGCTTTTGCCTTCTCTTCATGACAACTTCCCTGCTAAGGAGATAGAGAGAGGAGATAAAGGGCTAGGCTCCACTGGAGTCGACCTTACGTGCCTGTCCATAACCTTAGACCAAAGACCCATGCTAACTCTCCAAGTAAAAGGGAAAAGATTTGAAGGACTGGTGGATACAGGGGCAGATAGAAGCATCATCCAAAGAGGGGAGTGGCCAAAGCAATGGCCAACTCAAAAATCCTCCCAGACCTTACAAGGGCTGGGTTATGCTGATGCCCCACAGTTAAGTGCAAAAAAATTAACTTGGAAAACAGATAAAGGCCAGGTTAAAAAAATACAGCCATTTGTGGTAGACGTCCCTGTCAATCTTTGGGGAAGAGATGTGCAGCAACAGCTAAAGTTAACTTTAACTAATAATTACTCTGAGACCAGTCAGAATATGATAAAACAACAAGGATTTGTTCCAGCCTTGGGGCTTGGTCGATGTCTCCAAGGAC